CTGGTAGTGTTAACACATGTATGTTTTGTTCCCCTTCACATCAGACTCAGGTCCTCTCCCAGAGGTTTGGGAGTCTGAGGGTCCTGTTCAGTATCTTAGCTGTTCTTAGGACTCAGCTCTTCTGGACGAGGTCTCTGAGGTTGGTCCTGGAATCTGTTAAAGTCACACCAAGTGCTCCAACGAGGCTTTAACTGGACTGTCTCAGGGACATGTCTGTCTGTCTCCATCTTCCATCCTAATGGGCCTGATGGATAGCCCTTCATCAGAGCTAAAAAAGAAAAAAATCTGAAGCTCCAATGTTAAATAGTTTTTGAGTTATAAGCAGTATAGAATGGACTGTTGACACCCCCTCTTTAGAAGGAGCCCCGTCCTCCAATATGGGCTCCATCATAAAACGTTTGGCTGGAGCAGTGTAGGTTGGACTCATCTACAAGTTTTATGTCGATCGGAGCAACCATTTCTGTGCTATGGTTGACCAAAAATGTTGAAAAAAATAAATAAAATAAATAAAGTGTAGTATGAAAACAATATGTCCCCCCTTCCTGTGCAGGACTCATGATAAATATTACATAAAAATAATAAATGTTAATAGCGTATTACAGCTGTATGGTATTTGTGTCCTGTTTGACTCAGATTCTGTGATGTTTTGTAGTTTTCTCAGACGTCCAGCCTGGTCTTTAACTGACGCTGAGTTGGTGTTTGGAAACGTGAGCTAATCAGCTGTAGTTTCATTGTTTTACAGCAGAAAATCTAATTCTTCTGCTGTGTCTTCTCTGAATCTGCAGTCAGATCAGATCCTGAGCTCATCCTCAGACGTCACCCTCAAACACAACCATCCTGCCACAACTGCCAGCCTGTCYGGTCTGAGTGGAGGTCTACCCACCTGGAACATGTTGGCCACAGTGCATAGAATCCTCCTCTGCCTGGAGGGACGGTGTGGACCCAGAGGTGTATGACCTCTGACCCCCGAAGCTCAGGTGGCTCTCCCACCCAGAACGAATCACCTCCTTGTCGGCGGCGCTCCACAGCAGCGAGTCTGGGTGCTTCTGCCTGATGTGTCTCTTGATGGTGCTGAGCTTCAGGGTGGCCAGGGAGCTGCCACACACCATGCAGATCATGCCGTGCCTCTGGGGGTCGAAGTCCATCAGGTACTCACTGCGCCAGTACTCGTGGTAGTAGCGCCGGTGGTCGCGGCCAGGGATGCGGCTCAGGCCTGGACGCGAAGCCCTCTGGACCTTGGGTTTGCGTCCAGAAGGTCCCGGTGCCGGGGAGAGGAGGAGCGGGTGGTCAGGGCCCTCAGTGATGCTCCAGTAGCTGGTCCCTGGGGATCTGAAGGGCAAGACCGAGCCTGCAGGCCCTTCTTCACCTCCGTGGCCATTGGCAAGGCTGTCCCCCTCTGAGGAGACACAACAGAAGATGGACTACAGACACACTTTATGTTCAACGTCAGCAGACATGAACTGAACTGACTCCAGAGGTTATTCAGATAAATCAGTTTATTCTTGAAAGCTTTATTAAAGCATTTCTAGTGGTCCACTRGACTGTTTGTAAAGTGTTTATAAATAAAGTTGTATTGTTTTGTGTTGGTCAGCAGTCTCAGCTAGTTTTAAAGTGCCTGTGACATCAGATTTTTGTAATATATATGAATGCATTTTTAGAAAGAGGATATTAATAAAATATTGCAAAAAAAATTCATGTCGCTGAGATGAACAGTTGTTGAAATATTTGCCTGTAAAGTAACAGGAAGTGATGCCAAAGGGGAATATCTGCATGTAAACAGAGCATTGCTACAACAGCTAACAAACCAGACTGTAGAGAAGAATCTGATGTTTCTTTAGATTATTTTGAGTCACTATCAGAGAGATGAAGAGTCAGAGTTCAAATAATATTGTTTCAACAAACAAAGACCAGAGAGTTTTCTTTGTTAAAGAGTTCCCCTTTGATGTCACTTCCTGTTTCACTTTGGCTGAGCTAAGTTCAAAAGAAAACAAGCCATTTATGGGACAAAATGGGTTAAATCGTGTGTATTATTCCATCTTTCTTAAATATAAAGATTTTTCATTTGATTTTTTTTATATTTGAAGAATATGCATGTCACAGACACTTTAACCGTACGCACACCCGAGTCACATGACTTGTTTTATAAAAATAACCTGAGTGGACGTCAAGTAATCACCAAGTGCCAAATACTAATCACTGACAGTTTGTTGATAATTAACTGTACACAATAAGATTTAACCCAACAATAACAAGGACCAACATAAAATGTGTAAAAGWGGTTTAAAGAAAGAAACAGCTGGAGGAGCATATTTAATTAATTAATTATCATCAACAGTGAGAAGACTAAAACAGAGAAACACTTTCAGAATAAAGTTCCTCAATAGAAAACTGAGAAGACTCTGAATCTCCATCATCTCCAGGTCCTAATCTGATCAACAGATTATTATAATCTGGATTAATCTGTGAAATCAAAAAATGAAAGATGCTCCTGATCTTCAGTGCATTAAAACCAGGTCTGGTTCTGTGCTGGATTCAGGAACACTGCCACACATCGTCTGTAAACACAGTTCACTGTACCATCCACTAATGCTGCTTAAAGCTCTATCACACAAAGAAGAAGATATATGGGACACCATCCAGGACCACTGCTCTCTAACGACAGACAGACAGACAGACAGACAGACAGACAGACAGACAGACAGACAGACAGACAGACAGACAGACAAATTAATGACATATGATGCATAATCCGTCTGTCCATCCGTTTTCTTCCTCTTATCCGGGGTCAGGTCTCGTGGGCAGCAGCCTAAGCAGAGAGACCCAGACTTCCCTCTCACCAGCCACTTGGGCCAGCTCCTCTGGGGGAATCTCAAGGCGTTCCCAGGCCAGCTGAGAAACATAGTCTCTCCAGCGTGTCCTGGGTCTTCCTCTGGGCCTCCTCCCAGTGGGACGTGCCGGAACACCTCACCAGGGAGGCGACCAGGAGGCATCCTAACCAGCTGAACCATCTCAACTGGCTCCTCTCGACATGGAGGACCAGCGGCTCTACTCTGGGTCCCTCCTGGATGACTGAGCTTCTCACCCTATCTCTAAGGGAGAGCCCAGACACCCTGCGGAGGAAACTCATATCGGCCACTTGTATCCGCGATCTCGTTCTTTCGGTCACTACCCAAAAAGGGTAGGAACATAGACTGACCGGTAAACCAAGAGCTTTGCCTTCTGGCTCAGCTCCCGCTTCACCACGACAGACCGGTACAGCGCCCGCATCACTGCAGACGCAGCACCAATCCGCCTGTCTATCTCCCGCTCCATTCTTCCCTCATTTGTGAACAAGACCCAGAGATACTTAAAACTCCTCCACTTGGGACAGGACCTCCTCCCCGACCCGGAGGCGGCACGCTACCGGTTTCCGGCTCAAGACCATGGTCTCGGATTTGGAGGCACTGATCCTCATCCTGGCCGCTTCACACTCGGCTGCGAAYCACTCCAGCGAGAGCTGGAGATCACGATCTGATGAAGCCAATAGGACCACATCATCCAAAAAAGCAGAGATGCGATCCTAAGGTCAACAAAAAGGATCTCCTCAACACCTTGGCTGCACCTAGAAATTCTGTCCATAAAATTTATGAACAGAATCTGTGACAAAGGGCAATCCTGGCGGAGTCCAACTCTCACCGGAAACGAGTCTGACTTACTGCCGGCAATGCAAACCAAGCTCTGGCACCGGTCATACAGGGACCTAACAGCCCGTATCAATGGGCCTGGTACCCCATACTCCTGGAGTACCCCCCACAGGAGTCCCCGAGGGACACAGTAGAATGCCTTCTTCAAGTCCACAAAACACATGTAGACTGGTTGGGTGAACTCCCAATGCACCCTACAGGACCCTGCTGAGGTTGTAGAGCTGGTCCACTGTTCCATGATCACGACAAAAGCACACTGCTCTTACTGAATCCGAGATTCGACTAACGGACCCTCCTCTCCAGGACCCCTGAATAGACCTTACCAGGGAAGCTTAGATGTGTGAGCCCCCTATAGTTGGAACACACTCTGCGGTCCCCCTTTTTAAATAGGGGGACCACCACCTCGGTCTGCCAATCCAGAACTGCCCCCTTGATGTCCACGCAATATTGTAGAGTCGCGTCAAACAATGCAACCCCACAACATCCAGAGCCTTAAGGAACTCTGGGCGAATCTCATCTAGCCCCAGCACCCTGCCATCAAGGAGCTTTTTTAACCACCTCAGTGACCTCACCACCAGAGATTGGAGAGTCCGACTCAGGGTCCTCAGACTCTGCTTCCTCATGGGAAGACGTGTTGGTAGGATTGAGGAGGTCTTTGAAGTATTCCGCCCACCAACCCACAACTTCCCGAGTTCAGGTCAGCAGTGCACCATCCCCACCAYAAATAGTGTTGGTGACGAACCGCTTTCCCCMCTCTGAGACGCCGGATGGTGGACCAGAATCGCCTCAAAGCCGTACTTAAGTCTTTTTTCATGGCTTCTCCTAACTCCTCCCACTCCAGAGTTTTCGCCTCCGCAACCACCCGAGCCGAATCCACTTGGACTGCCAATACCTATCGGCTGCTTCCGGAGTCCCAAAGGCCAAAAAGACCTGATTGGACTCCTTCTTCAGCCTGACCGTCGGTGTCCACCAGCGGGTTCGAGGGTTGCCACCACGACAGGCACTGACAACCTTACGGCCACAGCTCAGGTAGGCCGCCTCGACAATGGAGGCCCGGAACATGGCCCACCTGACTCAATGTCTCCCACCTCCCCCGGAACGTGTTTGAAGTTCCCCCGGAGGTGTGAGTTGAAGCTCCGTCTGACGGGAGACTCTGACAGATGTTCCCAGCAGACCCTCACTATACGTTTTGGGGCTGCCAGGTCTGACCGGCATCCTCTCCCATCAACAAAGCCAACTCACCACCAGGTAGTGGTCAGCTGACAGCTCCACTCCTCTCTTCACCTAAGTGTCCAAAACATGTGGCGGCAGAGCAGATGAAACGACAACAAAGTCGATCATTGAACTGTGACCTTAGGGTGTCCTGGTGCCAAGAGCACATATGGACACCCTTATGTTTGAACATGGTGTTCGTTATGGACAATCCATGACGAGCACAAAAGTCCAATAACAAAACACCACTCGGGTTCAGATCAGGGGGGCCGTTACTCCCGACCATGCCCCTCCAGGTCTCACTGTCATTACCCACGTGAGTGTTGAAGTCCCCCAGTAGAACGAGGGAGTCCCTGTTAGGAGCGCTCTCCAGCACCCCCTCCAAGGACTCCAAAAAGGGTGGGTAATCTGAAATGCTGTTAGGCGCATAGCCACAAACAACAGTCAGGACCCATCCCCCACCTGTAGGCGGAGGGAGGCTACCATCTCGTTCACCGGGGTGAACCCCAACGTACAGGCACAGAGATGGGGGGGCAATAAGTATGCCCACTCCTGCTCGGCGCCTCTCAGCATGGGCAACTCCAGAGTGGAAGAGTGTCCAACCCATCTTGAGGACACTGGTTCCAGAGCCAGAGCGGTGCGTCAAGGTGAGTCCAACTATATCTAATCTGAACCTCTCAACCTCACACACCAGTTCAGTCTTCTTCCCCACCTGAGAGGTGACATTCCATGTCCCTAGAGCCAGCTTCTGTAGCCAAGGATCAGACTGCCAAGGTCCCTGCCTTCGAACACTGCCCAACACTCATGGCACCCGACCCCTACGGCCCCTCCCACAGGCGGTGAGCCCATGGGAAGGAGGGCCCACGTCTCCTCTTCGGGCTGTGACTGGCCTGCTCCATGGGTGATAGCCCGGCCACCAGGCGCTCGCCAATGTGCCCCACCTGCAGGTCTGGCTCCAGAGTGGGGTCCCGGTGACCCGCGTCCGGACGAGGGAACACGTAATCCATTTATTGTGTTCATCATAGGGGTCTTTGGGCTGCACTTTGTTAGATCCCTCACCTAGGACATGTTTGCCTTGGGTGACCCTACTGGGGGCATGAAGCCCCCGACAACATAGCTCCTAGGATCATTGGGACACACAAACCTTTCCACCATGATAAGGTGGCAGCCCAGGGAGAGGATGATGCATCACGAAAAAAATAAAACAAAAACGCATCAAATACCCAGGACCAGAAATAATCCCTCAAAGACCTGCAGAACGGGTCTGCTCAGGTCCTGGATGTTAACAGACCCATGTTAAAAAGTACAGTGTGTAGGATTTTGTCAATTCTTTTAGCCGAAATTGAGATAATCACTAATGACAATAATAAAAAACATGTCTAATCATTGCAGACAAAGACCTTGTTTTATTATTTTTACCTTATAAAAAGCTGTTTATATCTCCATGGTCGTGGGTCGCCACTACGGCTGTGTATTGGCAAGAATTTGGCGATACGATACATATCATGAC